ATATAATAAAGAGGTTCGAAAATAAAAAACATTAAGAAAATCTGTAAAATATCGTCTGCTAATCAATAAATATCTCTAATTTATAAAACGAAATCATGTTTTGTGAAATATTCACATTAACGTGCAAAATAGAGTGATTTTAGGAATGCCGTAAAATGACCTCTACAAATCGAAAGTGGCCTGGGAAAACCAATTTCGACGTCTCTCTCCTTCAATATTTATCCGATCGAAATAAAACTTTCACAACATTAATACTTTATATAGGCCTACATTCTGACAATGTTTGAAAGATTTTGAATTTTTTCATTTTAAACGTCTGACGGTCAGACGTGTAAAATGAAAAAATTCAAAATCTTTCAAACTTTGTCAGAATGCAGACCTGACTATTACAGACAACCGCTCTTAAAATGCGAGTTCGAGTGTTTGGAATAGCTTAAAATACGACCACAAAAGAATATTAATTAGGATGAACAATTATATAATCATACTAACTAAGATGAATAATTATATAAAGAATACTAATGAAGATGACCTTTATAATAATGATAATAATGGAAACTTTATTTATTTCATAGTATACCAAAAAACTATATTTACATTGATAAACCTCGCTCATAAAGGTAGTTTATGTAGGTTTGAAACGTACTTTAGAAGATTTGACATGTTGCCATTTCCATGGTAACGTAATGCATGCATATTTTTAGGGTCTGTTAGTTTAGGGTTTCATATTTCAATACTATGAACTAAGCAGAGCGAGAACGCTAAACATTCTATTGTGAATTTATACGGGCGAAGTATCTATTATTTATTCAAGTTTGGTGTGCGCCGACCAAAGTAAGTTACATTTATCTTGTTGTAATAGTCTAGTCTAGTCTAGTCTAGTCTAGTCTAGTCTAGTCTAGTCTAGTCTAGTCTAGTCTAGTCTAGTCTAGTCTAGTCTAGTCTAGTCTAGTCTAGTCTAGTCTTCAATCGCGTATCATGTTAAACAGTATTCATGTATATGCTTACGTTAGTTTTGCGCGCATGCCGTAATCTGTAATTCTTTTCCTAATTGTATAGTTCGAACCCACATTCCATATTCCTTAACCATATTCCATATACCAATCTATCTACCAATACCTATCAAACATTAACCTCAATCCCTATCGAGCTATCTCAACAACAGAACATTGTAATTAACTGGTATTAAAGTTATTGTTTGTGTATGATCGGTGTGTGTGGAGTTCGTATTATTGCTGCGCATCATACTTGAATCGACTCTTGGACTCTGCGAATTTCAACAATCTGCCCAGAGAGTCTACAGTTTATCGATGACTACTTGAAAAATATTTGGATTATGTAAATTTTCAAATATAGGAAATTTAATATTGTTCAAAATTTTAGAAGCTCTGGGCTAGTCCAGTCTTTGTTTCGCTGACAGAAAACATATGATGTCAGAATACAAATAGCAATGATTTTCTTTTTAATGTATTTAATTTGTTGTTCATCAAACTTCAGTTCCTTGAGCATATCCGTTAAGGTGTTCGTCGATTGACCAAAAACGCCTAGCGAGCTTATGGATACATTAACAAATTTTACCTTATCATAATTACTTTCTTGATCTGAAATAAGCGGCAGGTACTTTTTATGTTTTCGGTCTGAGTTAGAGTTAAGATTTGTTTCAAAGCCAACAATCAGTTCCAAAACATATAAAACTTTATTTTCAATTGCCAAGAGAAGGTCTGGACGTAACTGATCACCAGTGATAACTGACGGAGCTCGAGTAATAAAGCTAGGCAAATGTACGTAGAGTTTGGATCGGTTGACACTCATAAGGCTGGATCCAATGAAGTTCAGGACTGAATTATGCCGCCACGTAAATCGCCCTTCATTTAGATATGCTTTACAACCAGAGATGACATGCATGAGTGACTCCGGAGTGGAGCAAAAGGAACAATCAGCAGACAATGACAGACTCCATTTGACCAGGTTTTTCCGAGTAGGGAGGGAGTTGTTGATATAACGGACAGTGAAATTAAACATATTCTTAGGAAGTCTGAATTGAACGGATGACCATAATGAATTGAGTGATGATACTTGAGAAGAACATTGTGAGATAAGGTGGTTTACTTTTGTAGTCTCTGTTAATTTTCATTCCTAAAGGCTTTCAAGACATGTACATCCTTCGTATTTTTATATATATATCATACTGAATATTCTTGTTCGTGCTTGTTATTGACCATAATTTGTTGATGTCTTTGTTTGTACACGATTTTAAAGTTAAACGATAAACAGTTTGGCATTGGATTAATCTCGTCGACAGCAAAATGATATTCAAACCAAATTTGTTTTCGTAAAGATACACATTGCTAAGGGTTGCAGATATTGGAAGTTCCAGCCATTTTCGAATATATTTAGTAGAAACGTTATCTAAAGTTTCACAAATCCAGGTTTTAGATATATCGGTTATTGTTAAGTTCCATGAGATTTTTGAGAGTAAGTAGCGACTATATAGAAGAATTTTGTTTCGGGGGTGTAAAGGTAATTGATCAATTTTCGATATAATATCATTAAACAGATCACACAATTCGGATTTGTGTCTTTCATCGGACATGTTGAAATCGAAACAACGACCAAGATAGCGGAAAGATTCTCCGAGTTCGATACGGGGTATAAGTTTGTTATTAACGAACAGCTTAGGTTGGTACTGGATAGACTTAGATGAGCGTTTTTTAATTCCAAATGAAGAGCACTTGTCAAAACGTATTATCATATTGGCCCATTGACACCATACTGTGAAACGATTGAGCAGAATTTGATTTTGGTTTTCTTGGCTGCTGATGACAGCCGCGTCGTCTGCGAATTGAAACCAATGGATAGGGTTGCACGGAATATCAGTTTTATTCAATTTCCAAAATCCAAGCTGGGCGTATTTCTCAGATGTTATGTGCTGAACGAATGTGTTAAACGACATATTGAATAAGAGAGGACTGAGACAGTCACCTTGTAAAACGCCACGTCCGATTGTGATAAAGGAGTACTGAACTGTTCTATTATAATGGATGTTTGGAAGTTTGTATAAAGACTTTGTATTCTAGTTGTTTATATGACCTGGGGTGTGATGATACTGAAGGACTTCGTGAAAGAGATTATGATGGTGTTCACCGAAAGCATTCTTAAGATCATGCAACGTAAATACAACAGATTTTTGTTTTATACGGGCTGTGCTGATTATATGCGCCATATGAGTAGTGTGTTCAAGAGTTCCTGCATCGTTAGGAGTAAAACCTTTCTGGATGTTATGTTCTATGTAATTTTTGATTTTGCTGTTTTACGTGGGATAAAGTTAAACCCAAAGAAATGAAAGGAAATGGTTGCATCATTCCCTAAATATGACTTGCAGTGTATAGATTCCATATATATATTTCTGGATCTTCGGTTGAACGAGTTTGTTGTTACAAGTTATTAGGCGTTATCATCTCGCAAGATATTACCTGAAACAGACACGTGGATTATATTCTCAAGAAAGCCAATTCCCGTTTTTATGCTTGGAGACAATTAAAGAAAATTGGTTTAAATTAACTCAATATGATATCTTCTTAAAATTCATTGCTCTTTGGTTAGATCTTATATTGAATATGCATCACCTGCATGTGTGGTCGGACTTACCACAAAATTTAACAAATTTAATCGAGTCTGTCCAAAAAAGAGCATTACGGATTATCCTTCCCTCTCTTGCTTACGAAGATGCTTTGACGCGGTCCTGTCTAGAAACTTTAGCAAGTCGCCGATCAAATGCTTGCCAGATGTTTGTTGAGAAAATGAAGTCTGACGATCAACCAAATAACCCTATTGCTAACATTCTGAGGCATAACATTCATGATGAACATGAACATAGTTATAATTTAAGACACGAGGGACTAAATTGAGTAAGTCAGCACGTACAGAACGTTTCCCCAGTTTATTACATGCAATTATTATTGATGTTTCTTAGTCATTGTAGGCTTAGTCATTGTATTATTAGTATAGGTAATAGCATGGTTTCGAGTGCAATTTGGATATAACATGCACGAGTGAGTTTTTCAAAGACCTCAAAATAGCACGAGTCCGAAGGATGAGTGCTCTTTGAGGTCTATGAAAAACTCACGAGTGCATGTTTATCCAAATTTCACGAGAAACCATGCTATTACTTATTAATAATTTACATAAAAATGTTCGAGACAATTGTAGTTTTAACTTACGTGTTTATAGCGAACATTCCACTGGCAAATTTTCCTGGTTTTGTTTTATCACATTATACAACGCTAACAGCTTGAAAATTCCACTCAACTGTGTATTTTTTGTTAGTCTTGTTTAAGGTAAATGCTTTTCCATTTAAAAATAAAGATAAAAGCCATATTTTTCACGCGAAGGCAACTTTTACTTTGACGCGGGCAAGCGCCATGTTATTATTATTATTATTATTATTATTATTATTATTATTATTATTATTATTATTATTATTATTATTATTATTATTATTATTATCCTTGAACTTTCTGTTGGCTATGAGTCTAATCTACAAACAAATGTTGATCGGAAAAGAAGAAGATACGAAGATCTCATTACACAGCAAAAGAAACAATTTAAGTCCGTAATATTTGTCAATTTGTCAATTAGTTCTTTGGGCGTCTTCTCAAAAGAATGTCATTCCTTTCTAGATATGTTAAATGATCTAGGTCTTGATAAAAGACACCAACATTTTGCTATCAGGAAAATTATTTCTATCGCGATTAGGACAACATATTATATATTTTGTTGCAGAGATAAGGACTGGTCAAATCCGGAATTACTGAACATTTAAGGATACTCATTATTAATATATAAATATTAAGTAGGTTCAAGTAGCCAATTATAAATTACCTAAATTAGTGAGATTTATAATTGTATATATACGTATATAATTTCAATAAAGTTTCCATTATTATTATTATTATTATTATTATTATTATTATTATAAGTCCTTCCCAATAAAACCCGTCTGCTACGCAAGCTATGTGTCTACAATAATCATGCAGTGCAAATAACAAACATAATTTATCAATATGATATTAGGATTATTGCTTCAACAATTTATAACAATAATTTAAAATACAGTATTTTTATACAAATTTAATAATACAATGCAGTTTATATACAGAAAGTGTAATAAATGCAGAGCACAAACCTCTTCAAAACTGAGTTCGTCACATTCTTCTACTTCACGCCCATACAAAGCAACAACGTTTGGTCCCTTGAAATATACAGAGGGTTGATATTTGAAATGGAAAAATCTTGTACATACAAGAAAAAATAGAAACTGAAATGATCTCACGAAATTATGTGACGTTGCTTTTCCAACATTCAGTGTTTAAATTGCACCCATAAATATAAAATACAGTATGACAATGACGTTTCCGTGCGAGTGTATTAATTCCGCTCCGCTATTTACACCCGCAGGGAAAAAGGAAACTATTAGCGAAGTCTAAAGACAGATTTAGAAAAGACGACGCGAGCTCAAAGACGACGAGGATGTCGTCATACGGCGCCAACTGTCGTCAGCTTCTGGTTTGCAACGTCGTCTTAAACGATTTCGCGACGTGAAAATACAATTTTCATGTCCTCTCTAGAACGTCACAGATTTATGCTTCTTTTGAAAGATATGAGAGTATGCATAATAAAAATCATCCCATGTTGTTCCCCATGTATTGTTTAATGATTCTAGTGAAATATTTTTTTATTGACAAGGTTATTTTTCTTATATTTCGGTAAATTTCGGACGTTTTGATTTTTGACAAATACTTTCGTCGCCATAATGAAATCAACAAAACTGGCAGCATTGTCAATAACCACTTCAATACCGCTAGTATTCTTCACCAAAACAAATATTTTCGAACAAACTAAACTGAAGTTTTAATAACAAGAGTTTGAAATCAGGAAAACTTGCGAAGATAGAAGAATAAAAGCACTTAAAAGCAGTAAAAACTCAATGAATTTTAGTTGCTCTGTCACAACAGTGCAAAAAAGTAGGACAAGCCAAAAAACTCTTTCCAGCGTGAAAAACTATCTTAAACAGTATTAAATTTTACCAATACAAACACTGATGCAATGCCATATTTATACTGAACAGTGGACAAACTTAATTGAATAGGCTACAAACTAAAGCATTTAGCTCGTAAATAATACCTGCAGCGTTTGTACTTATTCCAAATAATGCAACAAAGGTCGAACCGATGGCGATTGGTTTCAAATTTGAAATGCTATTCTCGGCAACGCTATAGCAACTGATATACACGACAGAACTCAAGTCCTTGCAACTACCGAAATATACGGCATACTTCATCATCTCGCGTAACTAATTGACGTGTTTACAAAATCGCGGCTGCTTTAAATTAAATTGGCGCCTTTTGCTCTTACCTCATTTAAGACGACGTAGGTCTCAAGTATGTAAAACGTTTTTGGGTTCGCCCGATGATATTTTCAACGAATATTTTCAATGATGTGTTATTATCAACGAATTCCATTGGCTACTGGTCTTCTTTGTTCGCGCGATCAGAAAATATTGTTCAAATTATTTAATTTCGCTGGGAGTGTTCGCAAGCTCGCTGCAAGCTGTTTTTGCAATGAGTAGAAAAGAGCCTTTAGAGGACGCGTCGTCTTTTCTAAATCTATATATAATAATCGCAATCGCGTGAGTGGACTTTCTACTGATCTCAAAGGATTGGCGAATTTCAGGAGACAAACAAAATATGATTCGCGAAAGAAACGAAAAAAACAGTAGCGAAGCTAAGTATAGGTTATAGCATGGTTTCGAGTGCAATTTGGATATATAACATGCACGAGCGAGTTTTTCAAAGACCTCAAATTAGCACGAGTCCGAAGGACGAGTGCTATTTGAGGTCTTTGAAAAACTCACGAGTGCAAGTAGTAATATAGGTACCGTTCAACCCCCATTTTTGAGGTGGTGGATGAGGTGGTGTGAGGTGGTGGAGTGTGAGGTGGTGGAGTTTTGAGGTGGTGGGTGTCCCCCACCTCATTTATAATTAATACTCGTACAATTGAGGAGGAGTAATGACGTCACTCATTAATTAACATACGTCATAATTATATGCAATGACGTCACGCGGGCGAGCTTAAACACGATCGGGCGAAACTTGCTGACTACGCATTTTTTAGCGTCCCTCCTCGTGTGCGACACAATAGTTAGGGCTATATACAAGAGAATATGTTGTTGTCTGGAGTTTTATAAGTACAGCTCTAGCATTTTGCTGTTTTGCGATACTCTTTATGAAAATATGGATAATGGTCAATTGAGCGGCATTGTTTTTCTTGACATTCGTAAAGCCTTCGACTCAATTGATCATAATATTCTGCTTCATAAATTAAAAGATCAATTCAGTATATCGGATATTGAGTTAAGATGGTTTGAGTCTTACTTAAATAATAGGGAGCAAGTCTGTATTGTTAATAATTCAATGTCATCGTCAAAAAGGATTGTTTCTGGGGTTCCGCAGGGATCTATTTTAGGTCCACTGTTATTCTTACTCTATATCAATGACCTCCCCGAATGCCTTCAAAAAACTACTCCTTATTTATATGCTGACGATACCCAAATTTGCTGCAGCTCTAACAGTTTGATTGAATTAACCGAAAACCTTAATCACGATCTGAGTAGAATCGGTGATTGGCTTTCTAGAAATAAATTTCAACACCACCCAACTAAGACCAAAATAATGTTCATTGGCTCTAAACATCATATTAATTCCACAACTTTTGATCATCCAGTGATGTTAAATAACCAACGCATCCCCAGAGTTCACTCTTTCACATGTCTTGGTCTCGATTTAGACGAAAATCTTAACTGGAATTCACATATTCAGGCGATTTGCATAAAGGTTGGAGCAGGCCTGGGTACTTTGAGACGTATTAAAC